GAGTTGTGTGATCTTTAAGATGAGAAATTTCTAAGCATTTGTTTCACAGTGACTTGAATGTATCTACCACTGACAAACCATACTCTTTTTAAAATTTTGATTTAATTGAATGTTTATATGTGTGTAGATGTTTTGCCTGCATGTATGTCTTTGTATTGCATGTATGTCTTTGTACCATATGCATGCCTGGTACCTGTGGAGGCATTGCATCCCCTGAAATGGATTATAGATGGTTGTGAGTCTTATGTGGGTGCTAGGAATCAAACTCAGATCTTCTGGATGAATAGCCAGTGCTTTTAAGAGCTGGGCCACTTCTCCAGCCCAACACATTCTACCTACCCTTAAAAATGGTAAAGACAGGGAGTTCTATGTTGTTTTGTTCATTGCAATAAAGCATGTATAACATAGCAACATTTGATCCTTTCTCTAGGAAAAGACACAAGCTCAACCACCACACTAGAATTATATGTATGGTTTCTTGAGTTACAGACCCCTGAAACCTGCTGATGAGCATTTCTGGCCAAGCTGTCTCTCAGAATCCTTCCGTTTATTTTTAGCATGGAATCTCACTGGAAATCTCTATGAACTCTTAACGGCTCTTATCCTTTCCTATTTCAGGTCTTTCTCCCACCAAGGTCAGCCTTCCCATAACTGAGCTCTTTGTAAACACCCAGTCACCCAGTGTGATCTTCATACCCTTGAACTTATGGAGTTCCTCCAGTAGGTAGCCAGCCTCCTCCTGGATCCGCTCCTCAATGCTCCGCTTCCCCATCCCAAAGTTTCGAAGGACAGTCAGGGAAAACCGCCTAAGAATCTTCCATCGTTCTCCATTGGACAGAGCTAAACCTGCAGGGAGGTCGGTGGTCAGGCTCCTGTCCCCTCTCCCCTTTCTGCACTCAAGTCTGTGGTAGACAAGATTATTGAAAGCTCAACCTTCAAGACTCAGTGGGAAATCAAGATTCTTTCCAAAATATTCCAGACTGAAGGAATAGGGAATAAGGGTAGGAATAATCAGGGACAGCAAAAAAAGTTTTCTTACAGGATAGCAAGTTGTGATTGACTTATTTTCATGTTTAATGCCTAGAGTGCGTGAGGTAAGGATAGAATACCATATAGACTATCCCTTCAATAGAAATGCTAGTTCCATTTTCTGAGTATTGGTTGGATTTTTAAAAACATGTATATGTGAGGACACAGAAGCTCACAGCTGTGCATCAATGCACTTATACAAAAAAGAGTAACCTTGCATGAAGACTGTAGTAGAAATCACCTGATGGATGGATTGGTGAACTGCTTGGAAATTTAATAAGATCATTTTAGAATGTATTGATAAGCAAAATGAAGAGTGGACTAATGGAGGCTAGATGAGGGCATCAGACCCCCTGAAGCTGGAGCTATAGACTGTTGTGAACCTCATATGAGTGCTGGCACATAGGTCCCCTGGATGAGCAGCCAGTGCTCTGGGCTGAACTGATGTTCTGTGTGGTGAATGGGTGGGTAAGTGTCTGTCTGCCTATGAGGTTGAAAGAGTCAATGATTGAATAGAGTGTTAGTAGAAGAGGGATTAAGATGAAAAGTTAGTGGCTGGAAGAAAAGGTGGATGAATGGATAGATGGGTGGATAGAAGAGTGACTGGTTGGAAAGATTAATAGGTGTGTGAATGATATAAAGTTCACTGTATGAATTGAACTATGGGTGGATCCATCGATATCTAGAACATTGAAAGATATGAATAATAGGATGTTTGCATCCAAAGGATAATGAATATATTTTGGTGAATTTATGGGCAAATGGGTAGAATTGAGAAAGTGTGTATCAATATAGAGACAGATGATAGATAGATGATAGATAGATAGATGAAAAGAGAGAGGTAAGCCTTCCTACAGTTGATGAATGCAGGCAAGTATTAGACAAGAAATGTTTGTATTACATATGCATGTGGGTATGGACAGATGGGAACATATTCCTGTGGTAGATATGCATATATATGTGGGCAGATAAGAACTAAGCTTGGTTGTGAAAGTTTTAGGGGGTTACATAAATCATATCACATAGTAATTCATTAAAAGTAAGCATAAAATAGCACTACAGACAGTATAGAGCACAATTTCTGGAGTTAAAAAACAAAGCAGCCTTCAAACATACTGTGTGGTACTACTTAACCTTTCTCACATCAGCATTTGCACTTCCAAAATTAGCAGAGAAGTCACACCCTTCTCAATGGAGTCAGCGTAGGCGAGTCTCGTGAGTCACTTACCAGAGACCCTGAGTCAGACACACCGAGTCTGTGGCAATCATTTCTGTCGGTATTGCTGCTACTTACCATAACCTTGGAAGTTCTTCTCTAGTGTTGGCATTTCACCACGGCCACTGAAGTCATCTGCCTGATCCACCAGGGCCTCCTTCACTGCCTCATGTCCACATAAGATAACCACTGGCCTTGGACCGAAGTATACGGTGAACACAGAGCCATATTTTTTCTGGAGCTGGGAGTGAAGGAAGGAATAAATTTGGAGCATGGCAGAGCCATGCCAGGGCATTGTAGAGGGCAGAGGTTCTAGGAGAATGAAAAGGTAGACTAGAGGAAGGTCCTGAGCTTGGAAGGGCTACTGGGGAGAAAACATCAGAATGACTCTGTGACCTTGGACAGCAAATATCCTTGATTTTGTACATTTTCGTTTTATTTATGAGGTAACGGGGTTGGACTAGCTGAACTCTGAGATCTATAGCCACTCTCTTTAAAATGCTCTGTTTCTAGCATCTTAACATTCTAAGACAATTTGAATATGAAAGTTGTGCTTAAGGAAATGAGGCTCCCCCAAACCCTTAGATCATGAGCTAGAGTCCCTAGAAAAGGGGGATCTTTCTAGTGTACTCAACGGTTCTAAGATTTCCCCCACCCTTGCTTTTAAGATTCTGTAATTTCAGAATCCTGTTTCTTAAAGTTTGTTTCTGAATCTGTGTTTAGCAATCATGAGTTTCTGTGTGACGTCAGTGGTACCATTTGTGGCCTTCATCACCATAAGAAGAAATTGACACACTAACCTTCAGGAAGGATTGAAATATGGCATCAGTTCGGACTTGTAACAGGTTTCCCAAAAATGGTATTGGTGTGGGGCCGGGGGGCAGCTTTCCTCCCTTACTGGTCCGCTTCCAAGCAATCAGGATGAGCAGGCAAGACAAACAGAGTGCCATAAAGATGCTGAAGGCCCCTCCTAGCACCATGGTGCTAAATTGAGGGCTTGTATTCTGAGATCCAGAGCTTGCATAAATAGCTTCTAGGAAATCAGCTTATACTGGAATCTGAACCCTGTGGGAGTCAAGTTATCTCAGTATTATGCCATCAGGGGACAAATTGCTTGGTAGGTGTGGAGTTATGTAATCTTTCACCTGCCCAGATGTATATTGATTTCATGCAGCAAAACCCTAGGACGGGCTATCTCCTTTCCTCATAGTTCAACTTTCCCACCTGTCCCTCAGCTTCATAGTCTTTGTGGCATCTGTTTATAGGGAATCTTAATAAAGTATAGAATTTTCTACATTATCCTGCTGTGTGAACCTTCCTCTCTTAGACTTTTGTTTTTTGCCCTAGGAGGAATGCCTCCAACTGTCCAGAGAATGCCAGGGGCCAGATGTTTCGTTCCTCAGTTTAGTAAGTCCAAGGACGTTATGCAAACAGTCCCCACTTAGCCTCGAGAGTTTTCTACCTCTGAACTCCTTTGATAAAAGTGATGAGGAACACTTTGTGTACTTGTCATTTTTTTCTCTGTTCCAGCTTCGAACCCTTAACTCTCTTGGAATAAAGCATCAGAGAGCTCAGGTGGACTATGAAGTGATAATTGCCTGAAGCCCCTGGCTCTGTTGAATCTTGAACTCAACTTCAATTCCTTGGCACTGCTCACTAGATGGTTGAGATACAACCAAACATCGGTTATTGAGTTCAAACATTTAGGGACTATCTGGGTTCATGCTTTAGCCATTTTTATTTACTAGGAAAACATCTAGTTGGGGGCTT